ATGCTGCATTAATAATGGGTTTCTGGAGACACTCTCCAAAAGTACCTCAGTCTTTTTATAAGTGGTACAATCATAATTATGAAAATTATATTCATAAGAATTATGTCACTTGACCATTTTCTCAAGTTGATGTTGATTTCCTTATTGACTGTTTCTTACAAAATTGGAGGAAGCAATAACACAAAGAACTGGTGCTGGAAATTTCTTGTTCTGAGGCTACACTCTGCAAATTAATAGAATCCAGGTCTCTCCAAGTCAGGAAAAAAGTGAATTTGTGTTGGAACCTTTATTAAATAATACATGCATTTTTAAATGTGTGCATTAAGTGTATGGTTTACTGTATCATTTTTCACTTTTCTTATTCTTCCTTCTGTGGATTTGTATCAACCGTGATGTTATTATCTCATTAACCTTTCCTGGCCATTTTAAAACTAAACATTTTATACCCTCCTCTGGGAAGTCCCAACCTATGAATAGTTCTGACTCTTCCTGCCCATCTGTGTAATGACTGGTCCCTTTATGGTGGCCTAAATAAATTGCTATTTCTTATTCAATGTTTGTACTCCTCAAAAAGCATCTTGGACTCTCTTGATTTTATTTGCTCTATACCATATCCAGGTATTTATTATAAGTTACTTTTTTACTAGCTCTAAACATTTAATAACTTTCCAGACAGATAATGTGTGGACATTTTCCCCCTTACCTCTGGTTTATTCTGTGGTCTGAATTCCAAATGTTTTACTATTTTAAGACTTTTTTATTGTTGATTGTATATTATACTTTAAGGCCTTTGTACATCTTCAGTCCTCTAGAAATTTAACTGCTAAATCACTTTTAGACTCTCAATGAGCTAACACATTCCAAATACAATAGACTATTTTCTAATCTTATTAAAAATACAATGAAGTATTATATTTCATTGGAGACTAAAGCACAGTTGTTTTGACAGAAAAAATTATATGAAAACATACCTGCTATAAAACTGTGCATTCCTTAATGCATGATAGTTGAAAAAGTTATACAACATGCTCATGAATGAAATCACAAACAAAAAGTGGAGCCATTTATTTTTTAAAATAATAAATAGCATTTTAAAATAATATCATTGCATATCAATGAACCACATATACACCTTGAAAAACAAGCTGCTTTAATAAACTGTAATACATGGATATTAATTCTTTGTCATGCATATGCATTATGTATTCAGTCATACCTTTGCTAACCAATGTCATGAACTAAAGAGAACAGGATCCAAGGAGAATAGTGCATCTTCTTTCCTAACCAGGCAACAATCTTCCTCTTAAAAGAGTCGTTTCTGGTTACTTTCTTCTTCTTCAGCTTCATCCTTTGTACAAAATGTTGAAATCCCCACAGAAAGTACTCATGCAGAGTGAAAAACAAAGTAACAGACTGGTCTGTGTGCATTGGTAGTAGAGTGGTGAGTGGAGCTATCTTAAAGGAATGGATTGAGAACCAATGTACCACCTGTTACCTTGTGCATTGAAATGCAAATGTTCTTACGTATTCAGTAAGTATAACATTCACTCACACGAACTTCATTTTTGTCTCTAGGATGTCGAGTAACTGGTTTGAATGTCCTTTGCCACTGATTTCACTAAATTAGTGAGGAAGCCATAGATTCCGTTGTAGTGGCTTTGGAGAGAGAAAGACATGACTTTGTGTTGTTCTGGAAATTTTCCATTTGTGTGAAGAACATGCTGAAAACTCTGTGAGCTTCAGATCCATTACCTATAAACTGAAGAATTAGGCTACAATGGAATTAAATGATGTCATATAAGAAAAGTAGTTAGCACGTGATATGACCAAAATATGATCTGCAAGTGGGTACTGTTGTTGCTGTTTGTGTGACGGTCATGGTGATAGAATATCAATCCATAAGCATTCTAACTGTTTCATAAGGCTAAAGGTAATTATCATTACCTAATACCAAAGCTTTGATATAAAGAAGGTGTCGGTGATAGCTTGACCATAAGTGGACAAGCATCCAAAAATGCTCATTCAACACATAGCTCCAGAGAATTTGGAAGTGTCAAGTTGATAGCAATTAGACTCTGTATAGATAGTTGTATCTGAGAAGATAAATTTTAGAGGTGTCATCTTTCCCTAACTATGTGCATAAATAGTATTCTTTTGATTGCCATAGCATGTGTTTGTTATTTAGAGCCCTTTTTAAAATAGGGCTATTGGTGTATGATTTGCCACTGAATCATAGATTCTTCAGTGGACAGAAACATTTAGCAATATGTTTGTGGCATAGAATGCCTTGTGTTTTTCTAATATTATTTAATCTTTTCTGATTCTTAATTTAAAACAAAGTACAGTGCTGGGCATGATGGGGCATGGTACACATCTGTAATCCCACCTACATGGAAACAGAGATGGGCAGATCACAGTTCACGGCCGGTCTAGGCAAAAACAAAAAATGTTAGTGAGACCCCATTCAAAACACAAGCCAGCTTGGAATGCAGTGCTCACAACTGTGGTTCTAACTAGTCAGGAGGTGGCAATTGGGAGGTTCAAGGCCAGCCCTGTCAAAAAGTTTGCAGTCAATAAAATGGTGAGGTTGCGGTGTCTACCTGCCTTCCGGCTAAATGGGAAGCATAATTAGGAAGATGGCAGTCCATGCTGGCCCAGGAATAAACAGGAGACCCAATTTGAAAAATAACTAAAACAAAAAGGGCTGGGGAAGTGATTCGAGTGGTGGAGCATCTGCCTAGCAAGGACAAGGCCCTGAATTCAAAGCCCACTACTTTATTTTAAAAAAGTATATTTATTCCCCATTTATCATAAAATTAAGACTTGCCCAAGGTCAGCACAACTAATAAGTGGCAGAAATGTTTTTTTCAAACTCAGATCTGTCTAAATACAGCCTGTCCATTCACTGCATGGATACGGTCTACCATCTGGAATGTTTTCATTAACTACTAGGAAATATTCATAAATATTTTTCTCAAATATCACATGATATATGGAGTAGTCAGATCTTAGAGAACTGAATGAATTTCATAAAAGCAAAAGCAGGATCCTGTGCTGTAAACTCACAGTCAAAAGTCACTGCACCTGGTTTTCATCATCTTCCATTTCTCAATTTTATTCCTCTCCTCAGAAGCAATGGTTGGGTCAGAGTATATGAGACTGGATCTTGATTATATATCCATTCTTAATTTGTCCTGCAACTCTGGAAATTGGATGGAATATCTGTACAAAAAAGGGATACTGATTTAAAATATTAATTCCATAATAAAGATTTTTAATTTCTGGTTTCATTCCTTACAAAGACCATGTCCTCAAAGAGAAGAAAAATATCATGTTCCCCCTCAGCTGGTGCCTATTGAATAAATAAATGGAAATGTATTATATCATGAATGTCATTCAGATTATAGGACTGTTTAGTTTTGTGCTGAGTGTGTGTGTCCTTCATGTGCCCTTCTCACACCTTGACTCTGGTGGTCTTTGAGTTGCTGTGGCTAGGTGTCACGTATCAGTGGTACCCACCAATCTTTTGAGTTGCTACAGGACAGAAGCTATGTTCTCGAAATGTTTCCATCCTGAACTGAAACTCAAGTGGTACTTAATGGAATTTCTGTTATGATACAAGTGACAAAAACAATACTTTATAAGCTTAAATTTTTCCTCATTGTGGAAGAAGCAGTAGGAAGACATGATTATATATAAATAATATAATATGTATATATTATGTATTTTTAGTATCCTGAGTGCTCCCTGAAACCATACGTAGGTATGAAACAGAGCCTGTCCAGGTTAGCCATCATCCATCATTCACCAGTGTTGTTACCTCTGGCAGATTTTTTAGTGCCTTTGTCTTCTAGTCTATGAAATGGGGACTCTAGTGATATGTAACTCATGTAATTGTTGTTTGTGTCACATGAAATAATCATCATAAACTCTTTGCTAACATGGCTTATAAAGAAAAAGTCAGTAAATGTCACTGTATTGTAATGGGCAAAGCCATGTGACTTGTAACCCCATGTGATAATCTTGAGTCAGAGTCATCCTCAAATCCAAATGAGGCCATGTAATCAAATGTTAGACACCCAAATTTTTATAAAAATGAAATGGCACTGAAAACATTCCTTACTGGGAGAGTTTACATTTGGGAGAGTAGGAGAAGAAAACATTTTTGAGCAGTAACGTATCTGTCACGTTATTAGATGTATTTTGTATATTATTTCTTTGTTATTTTCATCTACTTATTTGCTGCCTCAAACTATGACTTTTTGGTTTATAAGTCTTATCTCTCTAACTAGACTTGACCTCCTTGAGGAAATGGAACTTCCTTCCAAAAATAATCATAAACAGCACTTTCTCAATGTTTAAAAATACATAATAAATTTAAAACAATCTTTATTTCTATTTATACATTATGCACGTACATGTTTGTAAAAAGACAAAGAGTGTGTCATAGCTAGGTAAAAATGGATTTATGGACGGAAAAGGATAATTGTACATAATAGAATGGTTTGTGATGCAAATAGAACTATCAGAACACATGAGTTTGTATTCTGATAATCATATTTAATTACATAGAGATGTTAGGGAGGTCTCAGCATCTTTAAACTTCAGTTTCTTCATCTAGACATGAGTTTCTATAGAATTTTCTGGAATATTGAAAGAGTTCTCCATGTGTGCTATGCAGTAACTACATGTAGCTACTGAGGATTCTAAGTGTGACTAGTGTGTCTGAGGAACGAATTTCTAATTTTATTTAATTTTAATTATTTCAAATCTGAATAGGCACACATGGCAAGTGGCTATTTTAGTGAGCAATCTGGCTATAGAATCAAGGAGGAAAGGACACGATCAGTGAAATATTGTCAGTATCAGCTAAACAGCATTGCTCTGGTGTAGATGCTATCAAGGCTGTTTTTCAGCCTATCTTTTCAAGTAGTGACACTCTCCCATGGTATCTTAGGACTTTGAAGTTCAAACGTGTTTTTCTTTATTTCTCCCAACAGATCTTGAAAACTTTAAAACAAGGACAAGAAGCACTGTATCTGTCCGTCGAGGTCAGGGGATGGTACTCCTGTGCGGCCCACCACCCCATTCTGGAGGTACCTATAAATGCACCGACATGTGCTCACTTCACTAGCTGCTATTTTTCTTGCTGAATGTTCTCTCTCTTGGCACCAGCTGAAGGGACAGTGTCATTTATAGAGATTCCCAAAGTCCCACCATGTAAAGGAAGAGTCATTGTGACTGCCTCCCATAATTAGGGTAGGAAAATATCAGGTTGAGCAAACGTTCCACCCCACTGCTGTCTGCCTGGCACAAGGGGAAAGATACCCGAGTCAGTCAAAATCCGAATCCTGTTGTCTGGTAAAGCAGTAAAGCTAAAACTACCAATAACTGTTATAGCAAAATTGGGTTAAAAATGATGGTCCTGCTTCATTTTATTTCATTCGTGGTTTGGGGAGGGATCTATGAATTGTTCTGCTCACAACACTTCTAATACCAAATATGTGGCTTGTTCCACACCAACAACCAATTCTCTAATCCTCTTAACACCAATTGGGCATCCAGGGATTAAATTCCATTCTGATACTAACTGCCCAGAGTTAGTGTCATGCCCTGCAGAGTAAAGGCTCAGTTCCCATAAAGGATCCAGCAGTGTGGAGGTTTGATAGATAGTGATACAATGATACTTATTAAGATTCCTCAGCTTGTGATAACAAGATTAATAAACTTCACTTTTGTGTGTGTGTGTGTGTGGTACTGGGGTTTAAATTCAATGCTTGAGCCACTCCACCAACCCTTTTTTGTGATGGATATTCTCAAGGTAGGGTCTCCCAAACTCTTTGCCTGAGCTAGCCTCAAACCATGATCCTCCTGATCTCTGCCTTCTGAGTAGCTAGGATTATAGGCATGAGTCACCAGCACCCAGCAAGCTTCATTCTTGGTATTTAAGGCTGATATATGTTATCAATGATTGCCTTAATTTTCTGTTAGACTTTATACATGATTAAAAGAGCAAACTTTCTGAACTTAGAATTTGAAAAGCACCCTTTTATTTTTGCCCTATATCCAAAAGTTGTAACTTTTTCTTTCTCATCTAATGGTCCCACCTAACATTTCCAGCAAAAAATAACAATTAGCAGAATAGCTAAAAGATGTGAACTTTAAGCACACTGCATATGAAGGCAAATGGAAGAGGCAGGCTACCCCTCCAGTCTGGATCAATTCCAGTCTGAAATTGTTAGAATTCATGGCTTTGGAAGATTGGCACAGAATCCAAGTTGCTCTTCTGGGATTTGTGCTTAGGAAATCAGTTTATTCTTTAGGACTTTATTTGCCCTTCAAGTTAGTATCATAAACACTTAAATGTTGGGGTCCAGATGTGAGTTGGAGTCCTGGCACTGTTTCAAAGCATTTTTGGCAAATATATTCAGATCACTATGCCTTGCTCTACCTATCCAGTAAGTGAAGAGATTTAAAAATATCTCCTAGCTCCTTTTAAGTACTTTCACTACATAATTATAACTCAATAAAGGCTAACGATCTTCTTTCTCAAGTATGTTTGCATTATTGAAGCCCTGTCCTTTATATGAGGAAACCACTTAACCATAGGCATATATTTTCATTCAGGTGAAATTTACTCAGAATAACACTTTCTTCTAAATATGGAATCTAATCAAAATCAAAATTGAAGATTTTGCTCATATCTCCTGCAGGCTCCCTTCATACCATTGAGCTTTTACAGCATGGTAGCAATTCTATCATCTTGGAGGTATATTCCAAAAGTACTGCTCCTCTCTGGAATAATGATAGCTTTAGAAAAGGCAAAACACGTGAAGCAGACTGTGCTACTATACTATGAGGTACCTGACGCCTATCCCCTTCCCACAGAGAAATTTATTAAAAATTTCTATAGACAACTACTGAAATATGCTTGTCTCCGCTGGCAGCAGTCACCAACTCTGAAATCCAGTTGCTTGAGCTGTGCTGACATTCCTGACAATCCTGATGGTGAAAGACAAGAAAATAAATATTCTCATTATGGGCTCTATTAGAAACCATGTGCACAGCAACTCTATGAGCAAGGCAGGCACAGCAAGGAAATATTCAAGAAAACAGTAAAGAGGCTCTTCAAGGTGCTAAAAGAACACCTCAGACATCCATCAGTTTAGGACAATGGAGTCAGTGATTATCTGACGAAATCCTCTCAATTGCTCAAAAGCCCCCAATGCAAACTGTATAGTAATGATTTTCTCATTGCTTTTCCAGCTGTGTATCACCTAAAAGCTGGTAGAATCACCATGAGCTCGTGGAAATACTGAGCATTTTAGATCCAGCATATGGTATCCCAGTTTCAATTGTAGCAGATCATGCAGAGGGAAGGAAATGAGGCAGCCTTTTATTATATCAGTGGGGTATTCAGTAATGGCATGAAATCCATTGTAAGGGATGCTGCATGTCCTGTTTCAAAAACCATAGTGTCAGACCATCTTAGGATAACAAAGAAATGAGCATCAATTAATCTGTTTTGAAAAACGGATATTTTCAGCCCTCTACAGTCACTGTGTATAACATCTTTGTCATCTCTTGGTTGATATATATGAGTTCAGATGTGATGTTGTAACACACACATTTAATGTTGACACACACACTGAAGAGAAATAGAAGTCACTCTGGTCATCTCTGATGCTTCTTCATATCAGAAACAAATTATTGAGTTCCAGAATGTTCACTGCTTCCTTTTACCTCCAGGCTCATTTGGCACCAGGAATTCGTGACCTTTAGCCAAGCTCTCATTAAGTGGGAATAGAAAGGAGGTATTTTGAGATGATTCTTTCCAATGCACTTAAATTGCTAGATTATTCGCATTGGTATCTTTACAAACTGACTGTCAAGGGAGGTTTTTATCCATACCTTTCTTTTATATGTCACTAAGAGACTCACTACTCAAAAGGTGGTCCATGAACTGGCAGCACCATCTCACCTGGGTGATTGTTAAAAAGGCAGAATTGCAGACTCCACTGAGGGCCAACTGAATCAGATCTCAATAAGATACCCCAATGATCATTTGCACGCTAAAATTAGGGAAGCTCTGAGCCATATCTATGATTCACACACATGTCCTACCTCTGACCAGGAGAAACTTTAGAATCTTTGGGACAACCCATTAAAACCATAAGTGCCCAACCTTTTTCCAAGGATACTCTGATTCCATAGATCTGAGGTGGAGTCCCCTAATGCATCATTGTGCAAACTCTAGTTGACTCAGGCAGCACTGGATTTAAGATCCACTCACTTTGATTATCTTCTAAGAAACGGACCCTGCTGAGATTCAGTGCTTTGGTTTCCACATTCCCCAAGCAGAATGAATGGCTATGAATATTCCTTATGTCAAATTTATATTTAAAAGAGTTTAAAATAAAATATGTAATCTCCTAAGGCTTTACCTTATATCACATGTGTTTTTGTGACTGTACTTAAGAGAAATCAAAAACTGAGACTAGTTTTTCTTAACTGTTCATATTCAGAAATAGCATTTGGTATTTGACCAGCTTTCACTGTATTATTATTTGTGAGAGGATGGCTAGCTGCAATACAAAAAAAAGTAAAGGAAACCACCAGATTCCAATTCTTAGAATACTTTTATTGTTATGTATTTTACACAAACTAGCCAGAATTTTGTTTGTTAGAACTTTGACACAGAACATATTCCCATTGAAGTTGGATCCCACTCACAGGGGCATCAGATACAGGGATCTTATGACAAAGCATCCGTAGAGTTCTTTTTGGTATTTATCATGCTTAGTTTACATTATTTTACCTCTTGTGCTTACAATAATTCTCTAAGAATAAAACACATGTGTTTCATAGATAAGGGCATAGAAGCAAAGAAATGATGAAGGGCACATACTAATCAATATCAGGGTCAAGGGTTGTGATTGCCAAGGTCATACCCCCTTTTGGCAGACAATAGAGAAGAGTGCAAATAAGTGTTATACTCTATTCCACTGATCTTTGGACACCACACCTGTTTAGTTAAATCCAAATTTCTTGGGGGTGTGGAGCCTCTGGCATTATTGGTAGTTTTAAGAATCTCCTCAGTAATTTTAATAGGTAGGCAGGCTGGAAAAGCTATATCTTTAAGTTACAAAATCAAATAAGTCTTGAGAAAAACCTATTTTCAAAATTCTCCAGGATTCCATAAGTTTGAGTTGATTGGATATATCCACATGGGTTATAATGAAAGCCCTAAAAGAATCAATCATGCCTTCCCACAGTTATTTCAGGTGAACCATTTTGTATTCACTAAAGAAAAGAGACAAAAGTATGAAAGTAGAACCATCCATGTTGCAGTTCTAGCTCTGCTATTAATCTACTATGTGATCTTGGACCAATTATGTAATTTCTCTGCACCCCTTTTCCTCATCTGACTTCTGTTTCTGTCATCCCATATTAACTCAATTTTCAGCATCAAGGCATCACCTTCAAGATCAGACTCATTTGGTCTAATACGTAGTATAAACTATGACAGGTCAGTGAGCTTTACTGTGCTAAAATTTAGCATCCTCTGTTCCCAGAATAAGGCATCTGCAATGTAGTCAAGCTACCAATGCCATCTAACTGCTCACCCCATTCCTTATTCCCATTGCCTTCCCCAAATTGACCCATTATTTACAAGTTCTATGTGACTTTAGATTTTCAGGTGTGTCCTTCTTTGCTCCAAATATCAAATATTTCATTGTAGTCCAGACTCTCAGCTTAGCTCTTGTCTTCATGTCTCACTCGTAGGTATACCAGATCATAGTCTAACCCCACTCTAACTCATGAACCACAAGATGCTTTCCTTTGGATTCAAAGCAGCACTGATATCTTAGATGTCCAGTTACTAGGTCTTTCCCATCATATCAACTGGAAGATTGATATCAACTTGGTTGGATTCCAGATTTGACTCTGTGATTTAGACAACTGGCCACCTTCCTCAGAAAATGGTCTCTGCTTCCAGCTTCTTCCCTCTACTTTCTCTTAATGACCTTTCAGACTTTATCCTCCTCCCTAGATCTAGGTTCCCATCAATATTCTCAAGTGCTCACACATTATT